ACCCCGACCGGGACCGCCTTCCGTCTGGAAACCAATGCCCTCCTCACTGCGAAAGGGAGAAGATGCAGGTCAAGAAGAGGGATCCACAGTCACCTACGGACCCTCCCGGGAGGATTATCCTACTCGGACAACGAGGGATCGCCTAAGTGGTGTTGCTATGAGCTAACATAACAACAACAGGAGCAGAAAAGTGGAAGCCAAGGGCGACAACCTTCAGCCAGATCAGGGGGCCCTGAAATGGGGCAGGAAGTGCCAGCCATCATCATCATCATCATCATCACCATCATCATCATCATCTCCATAGACTGACAAAAATCACGCAAGGAAAGTGGCCAATGATCAGGTGGCAGCCATTTAACCAGCCCCAGGGAAACGGGGCAAAAGCCCATGGGACAGCTCTCTGCGCAGGAAAGAAGTGACGGTGCATCTAGTTCTTCTACATCCCCTTCTCCTTCTTTTCCTTCCTCCTCTTCTTCTTCTACTTTACTTCCTCTTCTATTTTACTTCTCCTTCTCTCCCTCCTTCTCCTTTGACTACTTCTTCTCCTTTTTTAATTTCCACATCAGCTTCTTCTACATCTACTTCTTGTTCTACCTCTTCCTCTTCTTTCTCCTCCTTCCTCCTCCTACTTCTAATTCTTCCTATACTGCTATGTTGTCCTCTTCTTCATCGCCCCCTTCTTCTTCCCCTTCTCCTTATTCTTCTACTTCTCCCTCCACCTCCTCTTCTTCCTCTTCTATTACTTCTTCTATTTCCACTACTTCTTCTTCATCATCTTATTTGTATATTATTTCTATTACTTCTTCTTCTACTACTACTTCTAATACCACTTCTTCTACTACTAGTACTTCTACTTCCTCTTCCAGTACTTCTACCACTTCTACTACTACTACGTCTTCTATTTCCACTACTGTTTCATCATCATCATCTTCTTTGTATACTATTTCTATTGCTTCTTCTTCTACGACTACTTCTAATACCACGTCTTCTACTTCTAATACTTCTACTTCCTCTTCCACAACTTTTACTACTTCTTCTGTTTCTACTTCTTCATTTTCTTATACTATTTCTATCACTTCTAATACTTCCTCTTCCACTACTTCTACTACTGCTACTACTACTACTACTACTACTACTACTACTACGTCTTCTGTTTCTACTACTGTTTCATCATCATCATATTATACTATTTCTATTACTTCTTCCACTACTTCTGCTTCTTCCTCCTCTTCTCTTTCCACTTCCTCTTCCATTTCTTCTTCTCCTTCTTCTACTATTTCTATTTCTTCTACTACTGCTTCTACTTCTTCTACCTTTCCCCCTCCTCCCTCTGCAGAGACGGAGTCCTGACCCCTTTACTCCCTTTCTGGCCTGGGATGAGGCGTCCGCCTCACTGGACCCCTCCATTCCCGCTGCATCAACCGACCGACCGACCGACCGACCGTTCCTTCCTTTGCAGCAGGTTGCAGCTTGCAAGTGCAAGGGCTCATTTCTCTCAGCAGTTGCTGCTCCAGCAGCTCCTCTTTCTTCACCTCTGAGTAACGAGCGAAATATGAAGTTAAAAAGCTGCTGACAGAAGTATTAGTCATTGGAGATGGGGCAAAAAAAGAGACAGAAGAGTTTGTTTGTTGGGAGCTAAAAGCAACCAAAAGGAACAACGGAGGGTTTGCGAGAGCGAGCGAGCGAGCGAGGGAGTTGCGGCTTAAGTCGAGGAGCGAGTAAACAAACATCTGCAAGAGGAGGGAGCATCCCTGCGGCATAGCAGGCACCCAGGCGGGAGGCCGGAACGCCATAACAAAGCGCGGCGGCTTGGTGTGAACCTCTGTCCCTCTCATAACAATCACAACAACAACAACAACAACAACAACCATACTAATACTGAACAAGGAGAGGCCTGCCATGCCTCAACCCCGAACCCGTTTCTGGCCCCGGGGGCAAGGAATGGCAATCCAAGCAATCTGTGTTTCTGACGGAGCTGACAGACGTTGCCGCAGCTTTAACATATGCAGACTAATAGGTTCAAACCAAATACCCAGAGGCGTCTTGGCTGGGACGGCGGAGTTTATTTTTAAACAGCTCAGCTCCCTGTTGCTCTCTCTCTCTCTCTCTCTCTCTCTCTCTCTCTCTACACACACTTGAATAGGCAGCTGCATTCCCGCCGGGATGGGTTCGGGTTCAGAGAAAGCCCTCCTGACCTTTGTCGCTCAATCTCATAGGATCCTCAAGAGGGAACGGACCCCTAAAGGCCATCCGGTCCAACCCAATTCTGCCAAGAATGACACCATCCAAGTCCTCCCGACAGATGGCCATCCTGTTTATACAGTCATCGGATCACAGGGTTGGAAGAGACCTCAAAGAGGGCCATCCTGTTCAACTCCCTTCTGCCAGGCAGGGAAAGCACAATCCAATCCCTCCCGACAGATGGTCACCCAGCTTCTGTTTAATAATAACCATCATCATGATAATAATAGAATCCTAGAGTTGGAAGGGACCCCAAAGAAGGCCATCCAGTCCAACCCTTTTCTTCCAGGGAGGAATGGCACAATCTAATCCCTCCTAACAGATGACCACACAGCCTCTGTTTAATAATAACAATAATAACAACAATAATAGCAGCATTGGAAGGGCCATCCCGTCCAACCCACTTGTTTCTGCCATGCATGAAAAGCACAATCGGATCCCTCCTGACAGAGTGCCATCCAGTCTGTTTAATAACATTGATGATAATAATAATAATAATAATAATAATAATAATAATAATAATAGAGTTAGAAGAGACTCCAGGGGCCATTCAGCCCAACCCATTTCTTTCTGCCAGGCAGGAAAAGCACAATCCAATCCTTCCTGACAGATGGCCATTTGGCCTCTGCTTAAGAATAATAATAATGGAATCCTAAAATCATAGAACCCTGCACATCTGAGTTGTCCACCTTTTGTTTGCACGGTATTACAAACAGAAGAGCACATGAGCAATGATAGTAATAACAATAGACTCCTTCTCACGGTCAAGAAGTTCTTTCCGGTCAACGTCCAGGTGGATCTCCTTCCTTCCTTCCTTCCTTCCTTCCTTCCTTCCTTCCTTCCTTCCTTCCTTCCTGCCATTGGGCTGTAATGGCTGCATGCGCCTATGGCTCCACACCCCAAAGTGAGGCGGACTTGGGACGATGTTTACGGCCAAGGGAATGTCAGGCTGAAAACCCTTTGAGGGCAAGCCTCTCTGCCTGACCCGAGCGAGCGCCCAAGTGAATTAATACAAAGTATTGTCGAAGGCTTTCATGTCCAGAATCCATGGGTTGTTGTAGGTTTTTCTGGGCTATATGGCCATGTTCTGGAGGCAATTTTTCTCCTGATGTTTCGCCTGCATCTATGGCAAGCATCCTCAGAGGTTGTGAGGTCTGACCTCATTACCTCTGAGGATGCTTGCCATAGATGCAGGCGAAACGTCAGGAGAAATGCCTCTAGAACATGGCCCTATAGCCCGGAAAAACCTACAACATCCCATGAATTAAGACACTCGCTCCCGGGGTTTGGCAAACACCGAAGGAAACCACTTCAGCGAGGAAATTGCAAAACAATCCGGGCAAAAGGAAGAAGAAGGGGAAGCGACAGAGACAAAGTTGCAGCAGATGCCGCAAGCATCCCTCTCTAACCCACAAAGAGGCCTTTCTGGGCCTTGCGGAGGAAAGGGAATGCCAACGTATTACCTGTTTCACATACCTATAGGATACTTGGGGTCACACAAAACTTTCTTGGGCAAAAAGGGGTTGCGAGCAGGAAAAGCTCAAGAAGCCCGATGTAAACCATTGGCTCCTTAAAATGTTGGGGGTCAGGAAGGCGCCTGGCAAGAGTGTTTCTAAGCGCCACTTAGTGGCTGTTGCAGACATTGCAGTGTTTACAGAAGAGTTTAAGCTACGTTTCATGAAAAGGAAAACCAGCCCTAGTTGGTTTTTCAGGAAATGTTTGGTTTTTATATCTATTTTATGCACCTATATACCTACAGACAAGAAGCTTAAGAAGCCCTCCTCTAAACCCATCTAGACAACAAAATTATTATTGGGTTACTATAAATAATATATTTTTGGTGTGCTGGCTAAGAGTGTTGATAATAATGTATTGTATGAAACTATCCTGGGGAGTTTTCTCTAAAATATAATATATAATTTTTATTATTATTATTATTATTATTATTATTATTATTATTATTATTATTATTATTATTAGAAATTTTACACAGTTCTTGTGGGTTTTTTCGGGCTATATGGCCATGTTCTAGAGGCATTTTCTCCTGACGTTTCGCCTGCATCTATGGCAAGCATCCTCAGAGGTCTCTAGAACATGGCCATATAGCCCGAAAAAACCCACAAGAACTGAGTGATTCCGGCCATGAAAGCCTTCGACAATACATAGAAATTTTACAGTTACCAATGTCAGAAAATGACATTCTATGGAGGAAGTAATATTTGAAGAATATTGTAATGTAGTAATAGTGGTAGATTCTACACAGATGCATGTTCAGGTAGAGATATATATATATAATATATATTGTTTAATGTTTATTGCTATTGTTTTAATGTTATTGTTTTGCTTTATGAGTTTATTTATTGTTGTATTTGTTATACTGTTGTTTTATTGATGTGTTGGCCTTGGCCTCTTGTAAGCCGCACCGAGTCCTTCGGGAGATGTTAGCGGGGTATAAATAAAGTTAATAATAATAATAATAGTAATAATAATAATTAGTGTGTTCTGTTTTGCCTTTCTTCTAGAAACACACACACACACACATATGTATACGTATATACAGACACTAATTTGGCCAAGCGAACCCCATGATAGGGTTGCCTTATCGTCATCGTACGTCAATGACTCGAATGCATGCAACAACAATAGCAAACCTAACATTGTGGCCTTTCACATCCTCAAAGGGCTCTTGGAAATGACAACTGTATCAGTAATGACAATAGGAAGAAGGAAGAGGAAGGCGAGGGCTGCATGGGACTCACCCTCGGCCCCTTCATTGGCTTTGCTCCGCGTGTTCCTTCGGATGCGGTGATGGAGGTGGGCGCTGCTCTCCTCTTGGGAAACGGGCAGAGCGGGATCCTCCGGGAAGAGCAGGCTGCGCAGGGCGACCTGAGGAGAGACAGAGAGAGGGTCTGGGTGGGCAGCTGGACCACACAAGGGAGGGCGGTACCCCACAGGAAAGCCACACCTGCGCAGGCCCCACTGAGTAGTGTGGAGTTAAGCATTCCAGCTATTCAGACTGCAGTTAAGGGCTGATGCCATCCAACGGAGGAGATCTAAAGGTGAGAGCACTTGTGAGAGTGGCAGAAGTAGCTGGAGGTGGTAGTTGCTGGAAGCAACGTCATGGAACAGCTACAGCCCGAATCTTTGTTGGTGAACTCTTGGATCGAACTTAGATGACTATGACGAGAATTGGTGAGACTGCTTGGCTTTGACCCTTGGAAAGAACTCTGGACTGTCTGTCTGCTTTGCCCTTGTAGGATTATTCTGGATGACTACGGACTGTCCTTGACTATGAGATGGTGAGAAGCTGATGGAGAACATGGACCTCCCTCCCTCCCCACCAGCACCCCTTTGGGGTCCCAAGGCTGTGGGTCAGCAAGGAGACCGGCGCCCCTCTCACACCCCATGGCTCTGGCGGGGCCTCTTTCTCTGTGGGCAAGAGCTCGGTACCCTCCTTGTGACTTTTCAAGATCCCCCATTCCGATTGAGTTATGGAACATTACGAATATTCTGTACTTGGAGGAGTAAGGATGCCATAAGGGTTACATTCTAAGAGAGAAGAGAAATCATGTCTCTCTGGAAAACTGTAGGTTCGAAAAATATAGTGGGAGTGACTGGAAAGCAAATAAGGGTTTGACACTTCACCATTTTCCACGGTGAGCAATGCAGAAGATCATGAGGCATAGAGTTATCATCCTGAAATGTCAAGGGAAGTCATGAGTGTCCACTTACCAAAAAGAGGACAAAAGAAGGGAGAGAGATTTAAATGCAGGTATCACATGCTAATTTCTATGTTTAGAAAGGAAGGTGGACATTCAGCAATCTGCAGAGAGTAGCCCCCCCCCCCCATTGCTGGCCTCCTTTCCATGGGTCCTTATTATTATTGATGATTTATATCAGACAGATGGCAAGCTATTTAACCTCAGCAGACTGAAAACCAAAACCAAGGTCACAACAATATCTGTTATAGAACTCCAATATGCCAATGATAACGTAGTCTGCGTGCATTCAGAAGAAGACCTACAAGCCACTCTAGATACCTTCGCAGTAGCATACAAGAAGCTCGGCCTGTCACTGCGCATTGAGAAAACCAAAGTGCTCTTCCAGCAAAAGGCACCAGCCAATCCCTCTCCAATGACAGAAACGCAGCTTAATGGTGTAATGTTAGAAAATGTTGATCATTTCCACTCCCTTGGCAGTCACTTCTCTACAAAAGTCAACACTGACACTAATACAACATCACCTGAGCTCTGCGAGTGCAGCATTCTTCCGGATGGAGCAGAGAGTGTTTGAGGATCGGGACATTTGTAGGGAGACCAAGGGGCTTGTTTATAAGCCATTGTCCTCCCAACTCTGCTATACGCCTGCAAAACATGAACTGTCTACAGATGTCACACTTAACTCCTGAAACTATTCCGTCAGCACTGCCTCTGAAAAATCCTGCAAATCTCTTGGGAAAAAGACAAGCGGACAAAGGTCAGCGTGCTGGAAGAAGAAGCAAGGACCACCAGCATTGAAGCAATGCTCCTACGCCATCAATTCCGCTGGACTGAAGGCCATGTTGTCTGAATGCCCAAAGATCACCATCTCCCAAAGCAGTTACTCTACTCCCAACTCAAGAATGGAAAACGGAATGTTGGTGAACAGAAAAGGCGATTTAAAGATGGGCTCAAAGCCAACCTTAAAAACTGTAGCACTTTAGCTGGAGGTCAGCTGTGACCAGCAGTGCTGTAGAATTTGAAGAGGCCTGAATGGAGGGTGAAAGGGAGAAATGTTCCAAGAGGAAGGAGGTGTGTCAAGCCAACCTTGACCGGGACCGCCTTCCACCTGGAAACCGACGCCCTCACTGTGGTGGCAGAACATGCAGGTCAAGAAAAGGGCTCCACAGCCACCTATGGAGATACCACCAAGACACTGCACTTGGAGGACAATCTTACTCAGACAACGAGGGATCGCCTACATAAGTATTATTATTATTATTATTATTATTATTATTATTATTACTGGTATTGAGGTTGGATGGACACCTGTTGGGGGAACTTTGATTGTGCTTTTCCTGCACGAAGGCAGAAGGGGGTTGGGCTAAATGGCCTTTGGAGGACTCTTCCAATTATTATTATTATTATTAGAAACACAACAAGATGAGTCCACAGCAAACATGGACACTGCTGGCTGTTGTAATGGATCGCACGTCGGACCCTTCCCAAGTGTCTAGGACCGTGTGATGTATTGGCGAATAATGCATGCAGTTCCCAGTCAGGTGGCCTTCTGCAGCTGGCAGATGGTAATTTTGTCAGCGCCGATTGTGTTTAAGTGCAGGCCAAGGTCTTTAGGCACTGCACCCAGAGTGCCCATCACTCTGGCTTGTGCCAGAGTCTTTGCAGTTCGATGTTTAAATCCTTATATCCCTGTTGTTTCTCTGCAATCCTGTTGTCACCTGGGATTGCGACATTGACACTATTATTACACTGGCCCAGTGTATCTGTCCGAACGGATCTCCCTCTACGTCCCACCCCAGAGTTTAAGATCGGCTGGAGGGGCCCTGCTCTCGACCCCGCCAGTATCACAAGTGAGGCTGGCGGGGAGAAGGAGCAGGGCCTTCTTGGTGGTGGCCCCCTGCCTGTGGAACTCGCTTCCTGGGGAAATCAGAACAGCGAACACACTCCTCTCTTTCAGGAAAAAACTGAAAACATGGTTGTGGGACCAAGCGTTTGGTCAATCGGGTAGGTAAAGAAAGGATTGATATGGCCTAGGAAATGTTTAATGGAACGGAATCTGGAACCCGGAAGACGAATGCTGAACGCGTGAATAGTTTCATATAATGTGGTTTGTTTACTTCGTGTGTTTAACTGTAATAATTGTTTTTAATTGTTTTAACTATGACTTTATTATGTGTAACTGTATAGGCATCAGATGGTGCATCGTTGTGTAAGCCGCCCTGAGTCCCCCCTTGGGGGTTGAGAAGGGCGGGGTAAAAGTAATGGAAATAAATAAATAAATAATAATAATAATAATTATTATTATTAAGGTTGGATGGCCACCCGTTGGGGGAGCTTTGATTGTGCTTTTCCTGCATGAAGGCAGAAGGGGGTTGGGCTGAATGGCCTCTGGAGGTCCCTTCCAACTCTATTATTCAATGATCGTAAGAGAAAGTGGAAGAGAAAACACAGCAGCCCCATTTACAGGCCATCGGAACGCACAGCACCATTTCCTCAGCAGCAGAGGGCCAGGGCTGGGGACTCCTCTTGGGGTCCCCTTTGGGGGCTTGTTTCCTTGTGGGGAGACAGGCGGGGTATAGACAAACACCACCACCTCTTGGCGCCCTCCTTGGCTCCCATCCATTCCCGGCCTCCTCTCCGTGAGTCCCTTCGGGGTCGCCAAACCTTGCTCTGGGGCTCCCTGCTTCCATTCAAAAGGCCTGGCAACACTCCAATGGGGAAGAGCGAGCGCAACCCCAACTGAATGCAGCCGTTTGGCACCGGCCTTTTATTTGGGATCACAGGGATTACGACTCGGTGCATTGGATTACAGCAACGCAGTCTCTAGACCGGCCCACGGCTGCAGGTGCTGAAGCGAGGCTAAGGTTTCAAACAGGGATACCTCAGTGCTGAGGAATGTGCGATCCCCCCCCCCAGGAGGCCACTCCACCCCGAGTTCGCCCTCCTCCTCCTCCTCTTGCAGCCGAAGAGAAGGAAGCCCTCTCCATGAAGCGGGGACCCCGGTTCTGCCGTGATAAAAGAGCACCACGACCTCTGTCAAGAGGCACAAAACGCAGCCAGATTCATGGAGACCTTTATTGTACCTGGAGCCCCTCTTTGGGGGACGTTACCTCCCATTCAGTGGCCACATCTCAATGCAATGCAAACCTGGGATTTGAAGTCTGCTGAGGCATCTGCATGACCCCCTAACGTTGAGCCAAGGCAGTTGAAAAGCCCATTCATTTTGCAGCATAGGCGCATCCAAGGTTTTCCTTCCCATTGTTGGAAGCTTTGGCGCCCTAGCGCTTGTTTTCAAAGGAGGAACCCTAACGCGCACCTTTTTTGGACCAATTACACAGAGGGCACCTTGGGCTGTTGCGCATGATATTCGCCAGCAAATACTGTTTTGGAGGTTTCAAGGCTTTGAAAACAGAGTTGCGCATCTTTGCTAATATTTAGGTAAACATTTTGGGAATATTTTTAGGATTATTTCTGTGGATATTTCTTGTGAATATCTCAATGTTTATTTTCTGCAAATATTTTCAAATCTTTTTGTGAATATTTCTGCAAATATTTTTATGATTGTGTTGTTGTTGCTGTTGCTGCTGTTGTTATTACCTTTATTTGTATACCCCTTTCACTAGTTCCCGTTTCGGGGCCAGATGCCTCCCTCTCCGCCACACAGCTGGGCCACAGCTGTCCTCATTACGGGGCAATTTCGCATCATAACAAGCCAATCGGGGAGAAAGCCGTTGCCAGTAAAAACTTGGTTCGTGATAAAATGAAAAAACCCCATTAGAGGCGGCTGCTCCGCGATGGCCTTGACATGTGTCCTGGCTTTGGAATAAAAGCTCCTCTTTCAAACCCCAAAGAGAGGCAAGCGGCATCTGTCTCAAAAGGCGCAGCAGCAGAGGCCCCTTCGGCAGACTGGGAGCAACTGGGCAGACTGGGAGGGACTTGTGCCCAGAGAAGGGGTTGGGCAGCACATCATGTGATATTTGAGAGGAACAAGGGTGGTGATCGTGGTGCTTCTCCTTCTCCTTCTCTTCCTTCTCCTTCTCTTCCTTCTCCTCCTCCTCCTCCACCACCACCTTCTTCTTCTCGAGCTCTAGGCAGGGCACAACATAGCCAAATATATCTACAAGAGATAGTCACAATGGGGTGTTGTGTGGTTTCTGGGCTGTATTA